GGGAGCGGCCACTCCACTCCAGTCTGGGCGACAGAGTGAGACTCCAACTCAAAAAAAAAAAAAGAAGGCTTCCTTCTGACTGTGAAGGAAACTCAGACTGTTGAGTGTTACAGGAGATGAGTGATTCAGGCAATCACCACCTTTGGAGACTTGAAGGAATATTCTGGTATAAAAATGATATCAAAGGCCGGGCACAGTGGTTCACACCTGTAATCCCAGCACTTTGGGAGGCTGAGGTAAGAGGATTACCTGAGTCCATGGGTTCAAGACCAGCCTGCGCAACTTGGCGAGACCTCATCTCTACAACAAATAAAAAAAAAAATTAGCTGAGTGTAGTAGTGCATGCTTGTAGTTCCAGCTCCTTGGAAGACAGAGGAGGAAGGATCACCTGAGCCCAGCAGGTTGACACTGGGCTGGCTGTGAGCGTACCACTGCACTCCAGCCTGGGCGACAGAGTGAGACTCTGACTCAAAAAAAAAAGTGATATCAAAGAAGAACACACCCCCCTCATACACAGATACCAGGGGACCTAGGATCATGGACCTCCATTCATGGATGTTATCGCCTTTGGGACCAGCACTGTAGTTTGGTTGAGGGTCTAAAGTGATGTCTGCCAGTTCCTTCTGAATCATCTAGAGTTTCAGGCCCCCAGTGTAGGAAAAACTTTTTTCGGGGCGTCCTGCATCTCTCGTTATCTCAGATGACATGGGGCTTACACCCGGCCTGGAACACTGGGACATCTGCCTTCCATCTAGATCATTCTGAAGCTGCTCCCTTGAGAACTCACCTCCCTGACCCTCCCTTGCAACCCTCTCCTGGGATGCAGACTGCAGCCTTTGGGTGGGAGCCCGCATGTTCTGCCTCTGAGGTCACCTGTCCCACAAGGCCCATCCCTATTTACCGTGCAAAAAATTAGAGCAATGAGAATGAAGAAATATATACCTTCTCGTGTTATATAGTAGTCCCCCTTATTCATGGGGGATAAATTTTTTTTTCTTTTTTTTTCTTTTTTTTGAGTTGGAGTCTCACTCTGTCGCCCAGGCTGGAGGGCAGTGGCATGCTCCCGGCCACCACAGCCTTGACCTGCTGGGCTCCGGCGATCCTTCTGCCTCAGCCTTCCAAGTAGCTGGAACTACAGG